TATTCTAAATTTAATTATATGCATATTTTTGAGACACCAAAAAATTTTTATTAAAATTACTTTTAAAAGTCAATAAAAGAACTTTCATCAATTAATTAAACAAAGACGTATTTCTTTAACCTTTGAAATTTAGCAGCTGTTTGGAAGCTTGAGTTGAAGCTTGTCCGATTGAGATCTGCCTGAGATAAAATTTTGTCTTCTTATCTCGTTTCATTCATTCTTCTTCCTTCCTTCTCAACAAGTCCACCTAACAATACTTATTTTAACTTAATAATTTATTTAATTTTCTTTTTTTTGTAATTTTACAAATTTTTTTGATTACAGTTTTTTGAATTTTTATTAAATTATTAAAAAATTTTTTTTGTTTTTAGCAAAAAAATATTGCTAAAAATAGTATGTGCTAAGTAAATTTTTCATATATTTTGTTCAATCGTTTATTTTGCCAAAATTTTTGCAAAAACTCTTTTATTTTTTGAGATATTTATCAGAAAGCTTTTAGTGAGAGTTTTTTATCATTTACTTTATCAATGCAAGACTGATTTTCAATGCGTTAACAAAGAAGATATCGTAGTTTTTTTGGTTTTTTTAAAAATTTTGTATTTTAAGTTTTAGTTTTTTAGTTTGTAAGTTTGTGCACACAAAATATTTATCACAGAGAATTGAGAATTAGTCATAATGAGATAATCACGAAGGTATTTTTAGCTAATTATAATTAAGTACTCAAAATCATTTCTGCTAAATTAATAAAATTATACATAATTTTATATTTATTCTGCTAAAAATTAATTATTCAATCACAAAGTTCTACTTAATTTTGGAAAAAATAACTCTGTACAAAAATAATTTATTGAAAGTGAGATTTGCTGTTTTAAATCTATATTTAACTCAAGTATACATGTAGAGAAATTTTATTAGTAGAAGCTAAACTGTAAATATCTAATCAATGCATATATAAAATCTCCTTGATAATAATGAATTGTTGGGTTAAAGGGCAGTAATAGCAAATCGTTGGGTCAAAAGGCAATAGTAGCAAATTGCAAAGTATTAGAAGCATGCAAAAAATTGAATTGTTGAAATATTAAAAAATGATTTACGAGTGATAATTCATCTGGAGTTTAAAGTATTTGAATACCACATGGTAGCGCACAGCATCTTGCAACCATCCTCGTTTCTATCTCCTTTGGAATCCGTTTTGAAATTTAGAGTTAATTTATCACTTTAAAATTTAACCCTTTAAAAATAATTCATTATAAAGATTATTGGTGAGTAATAATTTTGGTATCCATTGGTGATCAATTTGTTATTTCTAAACTGCTAATATTATCAAATATAGCACTTTATGGTCAATACTGTAAGCATTATTTTTCGATCGAAATTACAGTTTTTTAAAGAATACTCTGAAAAGTAACAAATTTGCAAAGATTAATGTCTTACAAAAAATTATTCTACCGAAGTCAATATTGAAGTAATTCATAAATTTCAGGTAATGCTTGCGCATAACCTTGGACTGAATACGATGCTGATCAATATTACAATTTTATTAATATTGGTAGGATGCATCGAAAGTCAGGAAGCGTTAGAGAATCCTCAATGTAACCATTATCCTGATAGGGGCACCTGTGAAGACCGTGGTTTTGTGACAAAGTGGTACTATGATCGATATGCACACCGATGTCGAGAATTTTATTACGGTGGCTGTGAGGGCAATGAAAATCGCTTCGATTCGCTGCAAGGTAATAAACTTACTTTTTATTACTTTTATGATGCTTAAATAAAAAGTTAAAAGAATTTTAAATTGCTTACTTTTAAATTATTAACATTCAAAGAAGCAAAAATTCATTTAGCATCATAAAAGATCTCAACGCTATTTTTTTAAAAATTGCTGAATTCAGCTATACAAAAATCGGTTTCTGATTCTGCAACTTATGAATATTTAAGTATAGTCTTGGTTTTTGTTATGGCAATATAGGAGTTAAATTTTTGGAATATTTAATCATAAAATTTTGTAATATTGTAATTTTGTAATTTTTGTAATATTTGATCATAACAATAACAATTATAAATAATTTTTTTTTGTAAACAAAAAGGTGAAAGTGACGTAAACTTCAAAAGCATTATTTATTCAAAAAAAAAAAAACTACACAAATTTTTGTGTACAAATTAGGTTATAATTAAGTTGTTAATTTATTTTTGAAACAAAAGACTAATACTGAATTTTATTAGTCAGCATTTTGTTATTTAACTTTTTAGGACATTATTTGATTAATGTAGCGAAATTCTAAACTTTTTCAGTTTTTGATTTGCACTACAATCACTTTTCATTAATATGATTTAAAATAATAATTCTATAATAATTTATAAAAAAGTTATAAATAAGTTATTAGTTTATTTTAAGAAAAAGTTACCTTTTGAATGAAATTCCTAAAAAGTTAGATAAGTTGCTACAGACTTTATAATAATTAATAATAATAACTTTAATTAAATGATAATTAATAGTAATAATATTAATTAAAATGTATAGCAATTCAGAAATTGAAAAAGTTTAGAATTTTACTAAAATAATTAAAATATCGTAACTTTTTTAAAAAAATATAATGAATTGCTGTAGATTTTTGATTAATCTCCAAAACAATTACTGTATTATCTCTTTATGAGATCAGTTATTGAGATAATGATAACTGTTATTTGAGATCAAAGTTAATATTTTAGCTCCAAGAAATTATTAAAAATGATGTTTGTTTTTTATTATGGTATAATAAGTTGTACTATTTTATAATTGATAAATAAAATTGAGTTAGGTTAGTCATGGACTATTATAATGACTATTATGGTTTATCAAAAATTTTTTTGTATAAGCTGTAATATTTTAATAAATTTATGGGAAATTTTGGTTTCACAAACAAATCGTTTACAGTAATATAATTTACAATAAATAATTATTTTACAGTACTATGATTTATAACAAATATATTATAGTTTCTCTGATAAAAGCAATAAGATCAAAATAAAAAATGATTCTTGTAAACAAAATTTAACTTTTTTAATGTAATTTTTTGACGATTAATCCATGAAAATATTCCAAGTATTCTGATATCTCTAGTTGCTTTAAAATAATGACATATCAAAAGTTTTTCTTTTAAAAATAACGAGTAAACTAGCAAAAGATTAAGAATCATTAGAATTGTCTCAATAATTATGATCTTAATGATAATCAAATGCTTTATATTAAGTCTTATTTGCGTTTACAATAGTTAGTTTGCATTTCGCTCGATTCTTGGAACATTTCAGAATGTAGTCAAGCTTGTAAATTTGAATCATCCGACGATCCTCGGATCAGATGTGTTTTACCACATGATCCGGGTACTTGCGCAGGTAACTTCGAACGCTGGCATTTTGATATACAAATAAGACAATGTGTTTGCAGGTATTTTCGCTAAGTTTTATCTTTTCTAAATGATAATTTACATTTATTTACCAAGTTTTGTAACAAGTTTACAAATTAATGTAAAAAAACTAAAATTGAGCAGTATATTTTTGATAGAAATTTTAGAAATTTGTTGAATAAAATTCATTCACTTTATTAACTTGAATTTATTCATTTTTTTTGAATTGATTTACAAGTGTTTATAAGCATTTTTTGTAATTAAGTCATTAATTCTAAAATTTTATTTTTAAAACCGATCCCACATTTCAGCAATTTGATTTTAAA